TCATCAACGACAATCGTAGATCCGCCCAATCCAGCTGCTTTTTTCCAGTCACATGACCCTGTGTTGTGTTTGCACCTGAACTGACCCGCTCGGATCAGAACCTGCACCGACGTGTATAAAGTAGCTGCTTCTCTAATTATCGATTCCCTATGTTATTATCATTTCATTGTGTTTATTTCTTAATTCTAATTTTGCTTATCATTTATTGTTTCTTGCACCAAGTACCGCAGCACTTTGTGATTCTCGCACCTAAAACCTTCTGACTCTGATTCAGTAGAGTCCTGCTGTGTTTGCGTATGGCAGGGCTGTTCAATACCGGACCTGGAGGGCCGGTATCTAGCACCTTTTAGTTTTAACTCTGCTTCAACACACCTGATTTCAATCAGCAGGTGATTAACAGGCTTCTGCAGAGCCTGATGAGCTGCTGCACAGGTTAATGCCAAGGAACCTCTCCTTGATGTCTTGGCCCCGCCCCGGTTGCCTAGGAGATACGTAATCAGGAACCACCAAGACGTGTTCCAATGTTGATATTGTACCGAGGCGTGTGTTCTCCGTTTGTTAGCCGTTTAGCTAGCTGAGCGAGGATACAGGAGGTGTCTTGTAGCCTAGCCTTGGTCAAACATTACCCAGAATACACCGCGGTATTTTCAAAAGGACGGCGGATCAGAAACCGGCGGCTACTTCGGGGACAATTTTCAAGTTTAAAAGTAAGTCAGCTAATTTAAAATTGTTTTTTTTTTTTAGCTCCAAAGAAGTTTTCTATGGTTGGTTAGTTGCTTAGTAGTTGCAGCTTTGGTGGCTAGCAGGTAGTAACTCACTCATATATTTAATTTAACAAACATATACACAATTTAAAAAGTAAAAGGCTCGTTAAATATTTATATTGAAACTAATACGTATAAAATATAATGTTATCTCCTGTGCCACGTGACGTTACGTGGCCGCCATGGAAGCCTTGGTCACGTGATGCAAGTCTGTTCCATTTAACCGTTTTCTTTGACCAAGGAAGGACAGTGTCCTCGTAAGCAAGGCGCCTTGACATTGAGAAACGTCCTTAGTGTTGGACCAGAGAAACCACTAAAACGTGCTGGATACCGGCCCTCGAGGCCCGAACTCGAATAGCCCTGGTGTACGGTGTCATTGTGGGAAGGGAAAGCTACCGCATTTGTCAGTGTAGAAACTCCAGTTCTATAGCAGCAACTTATGAAAAGCTGCTGGTGAAGCGGAAGGTGAGGTCTGCTGATGTCATTTCCTTCTGAGGTTACAATCAATCAGTTAACCGAAAGTCCCACCCAGCTACTCTACTGGGCCAGTTCTGAGTTCATACTCCATGTCAGATGAGGGCTGGTTCCTGAAATTTCCCGGGAAAATTACCGTTTTGGGACGGGCCGGTGAGATGGAGACAAGCGGCGAAGGCCCGGTAATGTTACCCGGATGTTCCGGTGGTGGAAGCGAGCCTTTTGAGTGCTGCCGTAGAAGTCACCCAAAGAGTTCGCCTGATCAGTAAAATACATCATTTTTCAGAACATTTTTAATAAAAACTAAATTATTAATATTGGTGAAATATGAAAAACAACGGTAACACTTGGCAATAAAGGTCCATTTATTGATGTTACTTTGTGCATTATTAAACATTAATAAACTATCAACATATTAACAACTGCCTAATCATATTATGTACTGTATAATCAAGCAGACCCCCCCCCCGGCCCTTTGCCCTTACCTTAAGGACACCTAATAGGTAACAGTAATGGTAAGTTTAATAAAGGGTTCCTTTGTTTTTTAATGTTTAATAATGCACTATGTAACATTAATAAAGGGTCCCTTATTGTAAAGAGTAGGGATGTCCCGATACAACTTTTTACTTCAGATACGATACCAGTATTGATCGATATTAATCCGATACGATATTAGCACAAATCATACCTACTTTTACCTCTTTTGTAGTGTGGAATGTATAAAAGGCTTGATCAAGTGATATTACTCAATAAGAGAACAAGAGCCAATAACGGTAAGTATGAAAAAAATTACAATTTTTCTTGGTTGCAAAAATGTGAACCTTGCTTATTTCGGAGGTTCTTGATGCCGCCAGATATAATCCGATACACTGTTTTTGGACCGATATCGATATCAGAAGGGACATCCCTATAGAGCTCCGGGAGTTGACGTCACTTCTCCCGGCATGCAACAGTTCAAATCGAAACTGCGCCATATTGGCAGGCAGAAGCCCGCAGCTGGACTATTTGTTATTGTCAGAAAACTTAAACAGGAAATATGGTAGATTCCTGTTGTGCCCCAGGATGCAGAACAGACGCGGACGACATAAGGAATGAGCCTTCTACAGGATTCCCCAAGATCCGGTGCGCCGCAAACGTTGGATCATTGTAATAAAACGTGCTAGCGTCCGGGCTAAAATGAAACTGTGGGATCCCGAGAGTAAAGCAACCACTTCATATCAGGTACTTAAATCAACATTTCCTCAGCTGTGTATGGTATTTATTTTAAATGCGTTTATTACGATTCTTAGTGGGCTTCCTAAACTTATTTTGGCGTGGCTTTTTCTGTCTTATTACTCATAGCAACAAGTAAACGTCACGTAAAACGTTGCCTCATGAGTTCTGCGTGCTGCCGTTTACATGTTTTATGATCACAGCAATTAACCGGCTAAGCTGTATTTTATTTTTAAGCAATGGTTGATCAATTGTCAGATCACACATAAAAAGCACTTTGGATTGCTATTATCTGTCTCACTGAGACAGATCCTGAGACGCTCCTGCCTGACATATTTATTTTATTCACGGAAAAAAATCAAACTAGTGATTTCTCTTGGCGTTCAGTTTATACATTCAAACAGCACAGCACTCTATTGAAACTACTTACATGTAAATCTATGTTATTTGTCCATCCATCCATTTTCATCCGCTTATCCGGAGTCGGGTCGCACGGGCAGTAGCTTAATGCGAGAGGCCCAGACTTCCCTCTCCCCAGCCACTTGGGCCAGCTCCTCCGGGGGAATTCCAAGGCGTTCCCCGGCCAGGTCCGGTAAGAAGTCCGCTCCGACAGCTTCTGGCGTTTTTAAAAAGTATCCCAGGGGCACGGTAAGGGTCGGAGATGTTTAGTCTATTTAATTTCTGACTATATAAAACAATTTCTTCGGTTTTAAAGTGTGAAGTAAACTCCGACGGAGTAAAAGCCGAACCCGTTCATTTTGTTTACCTTTGTTGCCTGCCAACATGGCGTCTACTCTCAGAGTCAGGTTATGTCTGGAGCAAAACGTTACCAAAACTACGCTAGAAATGTCATACCGTGTGTCACCCTCTGCTGCCACCTCAAACCTGAGCTCCACGTCTGTAAAATTGACTGAGATAAAAAACATTTTAGCGTTTTCTAAGACCAACTAGCTGTGGCGGCCATCTTTAAAGGGTCAGACTTCCAACATTAACAAGTTCATTCAAAATCCAATTATTAATATCCAAGAATTTCTTTTAAATGTATCCAGTGGTTCATGAGGTAATGTTTGTGTCAATCTCCACATGTATGGCAACACATTTTGTCTAAAATGACACCAAATGTATATCAATTGTAGATAACGATTTACTTTCTGGAAGCTCATGAGACATTTTGCTAAAATTTACATAAACCTGGCTGATATGGGTGACGTTAACCGATCATTTCTTCACTTATGTCAGTTTTTTATATAACTGACCTCAGCAGAACACCCATGTGTCGTTTGGTTTCAGACGACAGCCATATGTTCAGCTTATATAATCAGAGTATTAATGACTTACATGGAGCATCATTTGGGTAAAAATGAGATCAGATTTAGAATGAAAAAAAGAAATTCATCTTGTTTTTTTTATTTTACCACCAGAGGAGAAAACTAGAAACAGGTTTGTAGGTCTGGATGAAATCCTGCAGAATTTATTCAGACCAACTAGCTAAATTTAATTAAATTTATTCGGACGGTCCAACCTCATTTTTAAGGGAGTCCTGGTCAAGAGGCAGCAAAAGTTACAGTCACAACATTTATAGATAAGATAAACATGCAGAGATAAGATAGATCAGATCAGATAAACTGAGTTGATTTATCAATAAAGATATTTTTTCATTTTCTCAGTTGGATCTGTGCTCCTCTTTCCCTCCGAGTAATTCTCGCTGTGATCAGGAGCCCGGTTAGGACGACAGACATCCAGGCAGCAGCATGCAACACACTTCTGACCACCCACATCCTCAAAACCAGCAAGCAACAAGCTTACGAAATCAAGACCGTGTTCCAGAAACGATCACGTGTGCAAAATTCTCAGTCGATGTCCATTAAACCAAAACAACGAGGTCTAAACCACAGTCCAGCTGTGTGAGAACTCCATACAGATGTTAGGACCTCATCAGATGTGGTGCTTCATCAAGTCTGTTCACGGAAAACCGACAGAAGGAAAACTTTATGATGGGTTAGAGTCTGGAATCTGCCAGAGTTCAGAGGTTTTAATCTTTTCAAAAGTAAATAAAACTATTTTCATGCAGCAATCTACTCTTTTATTGTATCATTAATCCTAGTTTGTCGTTCTGCTGCTTTAAAAATCACATTTTCTCTATTAATTGTGATAAAACTGTTGAATATAAAAGAATATTTAAGTCTTTTATTTTCTAACTAAGTACTCGTCAAATCAAAAATGTTCTTAACCAGTTTTTGACATTAGGAATCTTATTTTGGCCTTTTTTGAACTTTTATTTTGAAAGAACACAAACATTCTTTTGACTCTTCCTGTCCTTTTCGGCGTGTTTTATCAGCCGTTGATCCGGTAAAGGGTCCAGAGCTCCGCAACGAGACCACCACTGAGGCCAAACGGAGCGGGATGGTGACGGGAACGCCGTCCATGCGAAGGAAATCCATCTGGGAAAGCTTAGTAGCGGAGATGAGTCGGTTACGATGACCTAAACTAACCCCAGACTCCTGGAGGTAGAAACTGTGCAGGAATGAAATGAGACAAACGCATAACGAGAACTTGTGCAAACATTTTTATTAATGATTCAGGGAAGAACTGAAGCATCTTGGATCTCTCATCCGAGGACTCTTTGGGCATCCAGTGCCTGATTAAAACACCACCGCTCCGGAGCGCTGGTGGCCGTGGTCTCCTGCTCTTACTGGGACAAACAGGAAGGTGGCGACGCCGGAAGTCTTTTTGCGTGTTAAAACGTGTTTCTACAAACTGATGATGTCATTATAGTAAAATAGGATGAGATTGCGCTTCAGATCACAGAATATTATTTGTACACAAAGTCATCATTTACTAAAAAATACATTAAGTTACATTTTCCAAATAAATATTGGTCAATTTTTATTACTATGTCATCTTCCTGAGACACTTTCAGAGCCGCAGACGTACTCATACATCTTTTACCCATCATGCCTCTCTTCAGCCATCCTTTAAACGGTTTCTGACGTGCTTGAGCCTAAACGCCGCCGTCACGCCACGCTTCGACCATCCACGTGTGACATCACCCGCGTCCAAGCTCAGTGGGCGGATTTCTCCGGCAGCACCAGAGCAGCTAACCAGGTTTGGGACGCTCGGCTAGACGAAGCTGGACTCGGGTGA